ATTTTCTTCGAAGTTCGAACGCGGCATCAACAGCTGCTCGCCCTGCTGGACTGAAAGAAATGGCTTTGTGACGCCGAGCAAAAAGAAAATATTGTGCATCGCGTTGGCTCGTCGGCTTGTCGGCTCGTCTTTTTGTGGCGTGCAGAGAGGCTCACACAGGCTGGCCACTTCCTGGGTTTTTCGGGTTTAAACTACACACCGCTGGTCTGCAAGCGGGGTCAAGAGAAGATGTATGCTGTGTGTGTGTTGTCCCTTTGTGGTAAAGAAGGGATTTTTTAGTGAAACCGTGAAAGGTAGAAATATCCTCTTCATGTCCGAAAGGACAAAAATGCCGCTTGTGGAATGTGCCTGGGAGAGTCTGTATGTCCAGGTGCAGAACACTCGTCTGCGCATCTGCACATCCAGCTGCATGTTGACCTCGCTTTTCCAAACGTGCGTGAGCGTGAGCGGGCGGACGATGTGCTTTTTGCAAATAAAAGAAAGTACTCGATATTGAGTTTGTTTGTCAGGGAACCTGGAAGCGGCTGTAACCCCCGCCCCAAAAGAATCTCGGTGGGCCACCTACACCCCAAAGGAGAAGTAAACAGGTTGCGGTAAAAAATCTGCGTGCATGAAAAAAAAAAAACAGACAAACTGAAACTCCAACAGAAATGGCAAAAGAGGAATAAACTCACACTTTGTGCTCGAGTGGTATATGCTGCTAGGAGTTGACTTGTTTTTTTTTTTTTTTTTTTTTTTGCCGTGGACGGAAGGATACCAGGCAGTTACTCTGCTGCGGTGGAGAAGTGGAGAACGCCTGAACATGCCACCGCAGACCTGATAGGTGTGGGGTTACTTCGCGAAGTGGGTTCTGCCAAGAGACCGGGGGGACTGCTGAGGGGCATACTAAGCCTGTGATCCCCCGGCTTGTCGTATCAATTCCTGTTCTTCCAGGCCCGTTTTTTTTTTTTTTTTTTTTTTTTTTTTGAATCCAGTCCTGTGTTCTACCATTGTACCGATCTCTGGATAAATAATACCGCAGGCTTGGATGATTTGGACAGCTAGTTTGTGTGATGGGAGGTGGTTGAGATTGCCATGCTTGTGCCTAGACCCTTCAGTAGCTATGTTCGTGCACAGAGAACCAGAACCTGGTCATAAATAAGACTGGTTGTGTTTGCGCTCTTCTGGAAGGACAAATACATGACTGGTTGTGTACATGCGGGCCTCTTTTGACTGGTTGTGTTTGCACTCTTGTGAAAGGACCAGTACATGCGGGCCTCTTTTGTCACGGCGGATTCGCGGTGCAAGAAAGCGTTTTGCCGAAGCGTCAGCGGCACATTTTCTCCTTTTTTGGCTGGTGCCGCCAGCGAGTTTGGTGCCTAGGCCCGAGCCCCTGACATTTCCGGATTGGCATCCATTTCTGTGCTGAACTTAACTGAAGTTTGCCTGGGTGATGTTCTACCGTCTTCCCCCGAACACAATGTATCTTTATTTTGGCTGTATTATCTGACCGGAAATATAGCTTTGATACATTCATTATCAGGGTGCGTTATGTTCGGGGGAAGATGGTAGCTGTCTAAACCACCACTTCACTGCGGCGTACTATTTGCTGTGTTCCTGGGCTGTTTGGCAGAGGGCTGGTAAAGGCTTGGAAGCCTTGTCCCGTCAGGCCAGAAAAAAAATATAATTTGGGGGTTTATTCAACTTTATTGGGTTGGGTTTAAACGTGAGGCGGCCCCTACGTGAAAACAGAGGCTGGTCGACCTCTGTCCCAACCGGCCCCTCTGCCTCTGGAAATGACGGGCGGGCGGTAGAATAAACAAATTCCAAACACGGATGGATTTCCGAGTCCCGAATCTGGATGTGTGTGGAAATTTGCATTCGAGGAAACTTAACGTGATCTTCTGCACATCTCCTCAAACATGGCCAGATTCGGGTGTTAGAGGACACTGAACGGTGCTATGCGTGCAGCAGTACTTCTTTAGTCTTTTTGCGTTTTTTATTTGTGTTCTTTTTTTTTTTTTTGGAGAGAGAGAGACAGAGAGAGAGAGAGAGAGCTGTTTGTTGCCCCACTACTGTGGAGATGCATCGTGTTTGACCATAATGCTCGTGTATCCATTCATCCAGGGATTTTGCCCCCGCAGTATGTGTTTAGCTTTTTGAGTTTTTTTTTCTTTTTTTCTTTTTTCTTTTGCATTGTTCCAGAGAGAGAGAGGGAGAGAGAGACACCACGCACACACACCACAACAGCTGCCAAAACTAAGTTGTTCGCTGTATTCTCTAGCGGGCCTGTGATTTTTTTTAAATTTTTTATTTTTCACATACGCACTTAGCGTGCCCACGCACACGCACACACAACAGCAACAGCCGCTACAAGTCGCACTAGCGGTTAATGGAAGGCTTAAAATTCGGGGTTTTTCGCCGCGTCGCTACAAGCAATGTTGTCGAAACTTTTGCGAACAAACTATGCAGGGTCATAATACAAACATCATAAAACCAATCAGGCGAAAAAAAAACGAAAAAATCAAAGTCAAGAGTACTATAAAACCCTTTTCGGAATTCGCCGAAGTTTTTTTTTAGTCTGGTGTTTTTGCTCTGTTTTTTGTTACTGCTCCAAATACGGCGAAACTGAATGCAGATATACCCTAAAACACATATATAACAGGCAAAAAGAAAAACCGAGAAAAAAGTAAAAATTCAGGGAAATGTGGCAGTTTCGGTGAAAACTTCGCTAAAATTCGCCGAATTTTGGGCCTTCCATTAACCGCTTCTCACAAGTCGATGTGCTAGAGTTTCCAGCGGGCCGTTTTATTTTTTATTTTGTTTTACATCCGCACTTAGCACGTGCACACACACACACACACACACACACACACACACACACACACACACACACACACACACACACACACACACACACACACGTCACAAACCGCACGATCCAAGTGTGGTAAGGGCCATACAACGGGATGTGTGTGTGTGTGGTGACATGTGTGCGTGTGTGCTTGCGCACGCTATGCCAGGCGCGTGGGCAGCCTGGACTGGCTTCCCGTCCACTTTGTGCGTCCCGGCTCCCAAGCGCCTGCCGTAGCCCACCAGTGCTGCCGCCACCATCTCCAAACGAACAGGCGTGAGTGGCAGTGGCAGCTTGTAACGAAATACCGAACCGGAGAGTGTATGGGCTTCGCTGCAGTGCTCTCCAAATGTGGAAGATCGGACTGAATCCACCGCTAGAACATGGGAAGATACATTGCCATCTTTTGTCTTTTGTGCATGTGGAGAGTTAGTGCAGCGAGGTCCTATGACAGAGCCTCAGAAATGGGGGCCCACCCTGCACGTCTGTGTCTCGCTGCGGTACCGTCGAGAAGTGGAAACACTACAAAAAGAAATTTGGAAAAAAAAGAATTCCCTCAAACTGAAAATCACGACGGCCTATCTCATGGATCTCTGCTGGTCCAGTTGTACGGAGGCTTGGGAAGACGAAATTACGGAGCCTTGGAAATAGGCCTGGGTGAATTGGTGGTTTTAACTTTTAAGGCAAACTTAGCACCAGTGGTGCCTGGCCCTGGCTGTGACTGGAAGCTTGGAATTGCCGTTGACGGGGAAGTCAACTGAGCTGTTTCCACTATGAGCTGATTCCACATTCAGTGGGATATTGGCATTGACTACGCAAAGTTCGGGCTTCGGGGTACCGGACTTCAATGGCTGGAAGCGCCAGCCTAAAAAAATTGAAACGGTACCCTGGCGCTTCGGCGAAAATTGGCGCGCAGTGGGATTCCAGGCTCGGCAGCGATAGCTGGGCCAAGTACTGGTGGTTTAAGGCAAACTTAGCACCAGTGGTGCATGGCCCTGGTTGTGACTGGAAGCTTGGATTTGCCGTTGACTGGGAAGTCAACTGAGCTGTTTCCACTATGAGCTGATTCCACATTCAGTGGGATATTGCTATTGACTGGGAAGTCAACTGAGCGGTCTCCACTATGAGCTGGTTTCAGAGTGACCCCAACCTTACCATTGACTGGGAACTCAACCGAGCTGTTTCCACTATTAGCTGATTCCACATAGAGTGGGACATTATCATTGACCGCGAAGTCAAGTGAGCTGAGTAGGAGCATCATGACCTCTTTCGATGTCTCGCTTAAAAGCATTGGTTGGAGCAAGCAAAGTGAGAAAAAGTAAACAAATAACCATTGCTTGTTCAAAAAATAATAGCACTTCGTGGAACTTTCACACCCTTGGTGATTACTCGAGTCCTCTCCGAACCGTATGAGATAGCCACCTATCACACGGCTCTTTCCACTCTTGAACTGAATTCCACTATGATCTGATTCCACATTGACTGGGACACTAACATTGACTGGGAAGTCAACTGAGCTGTCGGGTCCAGTGCTTAGCGTCTGCGCTAAATGTTCTCTTGCTGGGCATTTGGCACTGTCTTCGATTGGCAAAAATCACTTCTCCTTGTTGTGCCTTTATGAGTGGTAAGACTCTTATAGTCGCGCAATTGGACTTGGTGTCGGCACGTTGATGGTAATCTTGGAATTTAGGTTGTGGCCTTTTTTCCATGGGTTGGTTACCTGGCTCTCGTGCAAGTCTATGTGATTTGTATAGAGCACTGAGGCGCTGGGAGAACGGCGATGAAAAGGGGCTCAAAAAAAAAAAAAAAAAAAAAAAAAAGGGATGGTGCGTCTCAGGTCATCGCCGATGAGAATAGGAAACCTTGGGTGGACTGATCTTGATCTCCATGTGGTTCTGTGCTTTTTTGCACGTGCGCGGTGCTTTTTCGTTTGCGGTGCTTTTTGTGCCATGCACAGTATGGTGAGTGTCAGCGAAAGGATGAGAATAATAGAGAAACCTTCAGACTGATCTTTTTCTTGCATGTGTGGGGTGCTTTTTCGTTTGTTTGTTTTTTTGTGCCATGCACAGTATGGTGAGTGTCAGCAAGAGGATGAGAATAGAGAAACCTTAAGACTGATCTTTTTCTTGCACGTGTGCGGTGCTTTTTTTTTTGGTGCCATGCACAGTATCCCTCTTCCGCAATGGGTCCTACAAGAGATTGAGAAGAACCCGGACATCGTTTATACCGATAAAGCGGGAAAGAGAAACTTGGAGTACCTGTCGCTCGGCTGCGACTCGTTACCTGTTCTGCGAGGGCGATCTCCAGTGCAGGCATATGCCGACTTCATGCGGAGCTTCAGAAATGTGTTCGCCAGCTATCTTGGAAATGTGATCTCGGTAAGTGAAATGATTTACTGTGAAATGATTAAATCCCATCTCGATCATTCATCCTATCACGTTCCCCCGTATAGAACATACGGTCGTTGTATTCCTTTTTGGCCCAACTTTCAGGCCAGATGCAGTGGTAATGATGTTGCCTTCTGTTTGGGTGAAGGCATATGGCAACTTCGTGCGGAGCTTCAGAAATGTGTTCTCAAGTTATCGTGGCAATATGATCTCTGTCAGCGTGCATCTGTGAAATCCTATCTCGATCTGTCTGCCTGCCGTCGTCCGCCGAATAGAATATATGCGGTAATTACTATATCCGTAGTTTGACCCCAACTTTCAGGGCAGATGCAGTGAAAATGACGGTAAGTCCTATTCGTGTGAAGATGGTGGTTCTTTTCATTCTTGCATTCATGTTCAGAGTCTTCAGACATTGAATCTCCAAAAAAAAAACTGCCAGCTTGTTCTTCTCAGAGCTAAGCAGCGAACTGAAAAGAAGGCTGTCATGTTGCTTTCGTCAACATCTCAAGATTGTATAACTCATGTGTGGTGATATGGCTGAATGTTTAGTCGCTTAATCCGCCACTACCTTTCACAGTGTTGGGAAAAGTGGAATATGTACCTATACCGCATTTTTCGGGGGCTGGGCCCAGCGGCGGCCACCTTTGATAAATTTCATCGGCGGCTGCTGCCGCTTTCGTTTTGGCCCTCCGGAACGAGCAGTGACCCCCTCCCTGTGACCGATCTGTGGCAAAGGTAGTGGTGCTCCTTTTTACTGCTTCGATTGGAGTTTGGAACCGAGTTGTGTGAGAGTTAGGTTCATTCCCTACCCTGGCTCAGGTTTCAGCAATATATACTGTTAAGCTCGTTGTGTGCGATTATTGTCAGTTGTCTGAGTGCTGCAACTCTGGAAAGTGTGGGTGAGAAGTGGTGCCTGCCTGCTCTTATCAGCAGCACCCCTAGCATTCACACAGGTTGTTAATGAAAGAAATAAAAATAAAATAAAATAAAAATTGAAGTGTAAGGAAGCTGAAGAGGGCATACCGGAAATTCAACAAGGTTCAGGGAGGGTTAAGGAAGTTTCTGGCGGTTTGCACAAATCTGAATTGGAGTTTATAGGAAGCAAGGGGGTGCTCACAAGCTCAGACCACCACTACCTCCCCTGCATCTGTTTTGTGGAGGTTGATCCGCCTTCGCGCCAAGCTTTGCTGAAGCGCCAGCGGAGTGTTTTTTTTTTTTTTTTTTTTTTTTACCTCCCCCTTTTGGCTGGTGCGACCAGCAGTTGGTCCGGCAGCGTCGAGAGCCTCCTCCGGAGAACCCGGAATTACGTTTTTGATTCTCGAAGTTTTACGTTTTCGATTCTCGAAGTTGCCCCGGAAAGGTAGTGGTGGTTTAAACTTTAAAGGGAATTCAATCAAAGGGTGTTTATAAAAGGGGGTTGAAATTTAAAGGGCGTTTCGGGGGAGGTTCAAACTTCAAAATTGAACGGGAGTTTAAGGGCGAGTTTGAAACTTCAAAATTGAACGGGAGTTTAAGGGCGAGTTTGAAGATTGGTTAATCCACAACTACCTTTCGCGTGCAAAGTAGAGACGTCCGAAGGATGCGGCTTTTAGGTTTGGAGGCAGGGCGCCAAGGGACCAAAATGGCCCGTGGCGCCAGCGGGGAAAAAAAAAAAAAAAAAAAAAAAAAAAAAAAAAAAAAGTGGTTCAAGTCACCAGTGACGTGGTGTCGTGGAGGCTTAATCGTGATTCTCAACTTGGCCGGGGCCATGTACTACCGTCTTCACCCGAATAGAATGCGCGGTCATTATAGCTGTATTTGGCACAACTTTCGGTCCAGATGCAGCGACAATGACCGGGCGTTCTATTCGGGTGAAGACGACAGTGGTTTAAGTCACCGGTTTGTTGTTGGATGAGGATATGTGAAAACATCTGTTGGATTTTTGTCTATCTCTAGGTCTTTGGCATGGGTGCTTTGCGAAATCGTTCCCGTTTCGGTTGTTCGCATGTGACGAGGTGGGCGAAGCAGGGGTCGACTGTGTTTACTGCGGTGCATGGAAGTTTCTTACCCTCATCGTCTGCCTGTTTGCAAATTTGCCCTTTTGTTGCTCGTGCTCTTGCTGTTTGCAAATTTGCCATCTCCAGGAAATCCAAGTAGGGCTGGGTCCCGCCGGCGAGCTACGGTATCCCTCTTACCCGGAAAGCTATTCTAGGTGGAGGTTTCCCGGGATCGGAGAATTCCAATGCTATGACAAGGTTAGTGTGGCACGCGACTTAGCCTTAGCCTCCTCCCTGGCTGCCTGCCAATCCCCTCTTCACTACCGTAGTTCAGTCAGCACCTGCCTTGATCTGGCATTGCAAAGGGGTCCCATTTCTGTATCAATATGCCAGGAAAAGAGTAAAAGAAGTGCATTTTCACTGGTTTTCACATCCCTTCCTCGTTGATCTGAAACCATCACTACCTTTCCCAGCTATTCTGAGGATCCCGAACAGCTTGGTCACCGGCTAGGGCGCGCACGTTAGCGGCTGTTCTTTTGGTTTCCTGCGGATCGATGTTCTCGACTTGTCCGGTCAGTGCCTGCCTGATCTGGCATTGCGAAGGTGGTGTGTTTCTTTATTAACGTGCCAAAAAAAAGAGAAAAAAAAAACTTAAAAAAAAAGGAAGAGAAAAAGAAAGAAAAAAAAGGAGAAAAATAAAAAGGTGCACGATCACTGGTTTTCACATCCTTCCTCGTTGATGTTAATTTGTTAAACGAACCACTTTCTTTCCCATCTATTCAGAGGATACCAAACAGCTCCGTCACCGCCTAGGGCGTGTTAGCGGGCTGTACTTTTTGGTTTCCTGCGGATCGAACATTTTTGCTTAGACGATGTTAAACCACCAGTACCTATGGCATTCTTAGGGCCCCTCTGATTCCAATGAATTTGGCCCCAGGCGGCAGACAGATTCGTCCACCACGTTAACGGCCTAAGAACGTGGAGGTGCTGGTGGTTTAACTTGTTCAGAGCACTTTTTTCTTCCGACATGGCTGGGAACTCGGCGGGCGTTTTGGGGCCTCGGCCTAACCGAAACGGAATGGCTGACAGTTTTGGAATTAACGCCCACACCGGTCGGACAAAACTTGGTGCTGGCAGAAATTGGCTCCCAGGAAAGCGACTTGGAAGTGCTGGTGGTGGAATTGTGTTTTTTTTTTTTTTTTTTTTTTTTTTTTTTATGGGGAGTGGATGATAGGTGCCTTTTGTGATGGTGGTGCAAAAGACGTGTGGTGCTCATGAGGGAGGGTAGTTTTTTTTAACGCAGGATAGTTCTGTTTCCCCTTCCTCTTGAGCCATTCCGTGGCATGCATGTGATAAAGGGGGGAAGCATTGAGTACAGAATCATTTAATGTGAAGAGGACAACAACTGTAAGAAGCTCTCAAAGACAAAATATGCTCCTAGTGCTCCTCTGCTGATCACACAACACAATGCTTCACATAAAACATGCGTGGCCTCGACATTATTTCATATTTCCCACGTTGGCGCCCTCGCGAGCGCTGGCGATAGATGTGAAGCGTCTGCCACGCCTCTTACCCCTAAACAGTGCTGTAATGTTGAAATCTAGGCCAGATGCATTGTGCTTTCCTCACCTACCTTTGTATAGGGTATAGTAATGGGAACCTGGAAATCGTGGGCTGAAGAACTTAGAATCGATGTGAAACCTAGTGGCATCTCTGATGGCCTTTGAGGGCCATACTCACACTAGCACTTTCTAAATCTAAAATGCATCTGATGGCAATCGTGGCCAGATGTGCACGAAGATGACTGCAAGCATGTCCATATCCGTGATTCCTTGTAAAAAGGTCCTTGAGAGACGTCACAAGATAGACGAAATCAATTGTGGATGGCACGAAATTGGACTTGTTTGTATTTTTCGTACAGTTTTGGCCTTCTCTGGGTTTTCGTACAGGAAGCAGTTCCAACTTACCTAGCTGCACTCGGCTCTGTTGCAGGAAGCAGTTCGAACTTACCTAGCCGCACTCGGCTCTGCTGCTGGCAAGCCGCGCTTGCAAGAGCATTTTGTGTGGGTGGTTGCCTTCTGGAGCTGAATAGTGAAGGTTCCATTGTGAGCGCCGAGGCATTCTCAAATGTATATGCCTGGCTGCATGTGATCTGGAGAAGGTAGTATAAATATCACAAGCTATGGAGAAGGTCGTATAAAATTATAAATATCCAGTGGCTGCATGTGATCTGGAGAAGCCGCCTAGCATGTCCGCGTTCGGTGACCAAATCCGAACGTTGGCAGCCAAACGCAAACGAGCGCCGAAACCCTCCGAACACGGATACGCAAATTTATTAAACAAAAAGAAAAGAAAGTTCTCAGACAAATCTAAAAAAATATATGTTATGTACAATAAAATTGAATAAATTAATAATATATTAAAAAAGAGAAGAAACTTCTCAGGACAAATCTAAAAATATATATGTTATGTACAATAATAATATAATATTACAAACAACTTTTGCCTGGGAGGCATGTTCAAATTCTTAGCCAAACTCGAGTTAAAAATCAAAAACCTTAAAAAAAAAAAAAAAAAACAATCATTAAAAAAAATATGTACGACCGAACATGTTCGGGGGGCGTTCGGCCGAACACCCGAACGTGTTCGGGCGTTTGTGAAAGCCCGGAAAACACGTTCGGTGTGCTGCACAGTGGAGAAGGTAGTATTAATATGTAGGTTATGTAATGATACAGGTGACCGAATGTCAACAGGTAATATATGGAGAAGAATGAGAAGATATATCACGGCTGAATCATCAGCCTGAATCTGTGTTGTGCAGCTGACATGTTGGTGGGGGAGTGTCTACTGGAGCTGACGGTGCAGGGTGCGGTGTCGTGTTATGGTGGTGTGCAGCATATGCTGGCAAATTTGAAGGCAGCTGCAGAAGCGATAGGGAAGCCACGTTGGGGTCTTGGGGGTCCCCATGATGCGGGGAGCTACAACCAGTGGCCAGAGGAGACGGGTTTTTTTCAAAGAGATGGGTCCTGGAAATCACAGTACGGCCACTTTTTCTTGCAATGGTATTCAGAGATGCTGCTTCGACACGGCGATCTTATCCTTTCCTCGGCGGCTGGGATCTTCCGCGGCACTGGCGCTATGATATCTGCAAAAATTGCGGGAATACACTGGCATTATTACAGTCGATCGCATGCGGCGGAGCTGACTGCAGGGTACTACAACACTTGGAATCGAGACGGTTACCTTCCCATTGCAAGGATGTTGGCCCGGCACGGCGCCATTCTCAACTTCACGTGCTTCGAAATGCGCGATTCTGAGCAAATGCCGCAGGCTGCCTGCAGCCCTGAGAGTCTACTTCGCCAAGTCGTCCGTGCATCGAAGATTGCCGGCGTTCGTGTCTCGGGTGAGAATGCGTTGCAGCGGTTCGACTTGGACGCTTACGAACAGATTGTGCGGAAGTCGCGCCTTCGGCTCGATGGACTTGCGACGGACGAGCCGATGATGTCTTTTACGTTTCTAAGGACAAGCGAAATGCTTTTTCGACCAAACAACTGGAGCAATTTCGTTGCTTTCGTGAGGAATATGAGCAAGGGTACCGAAGAAGTTATGCCTCATTGGGTAAAGGAGAAGGAAAATCATCACGCCGTGTCGCCGCCTATCTGGGCAAATGTACATAATTCCAGTAAGCATCTTGGTCAATCTATTGCTGTTTAACAGTTTAAGTTTTTTTTTCCTTGTCTTTTTTTTTTTTTCTTTCCGTTGATCGCTGTCTTTCTGAATGGGTGAATTGTGCTATTTATTTATGAAGAAATCTGATCATTAAATTTATTTTCCGTGGCACGCAGCATCTGGCCAGGCCTGTACACCCACCTTCTCTCTATTTAGCGCATATGCGATGAGCTCTGAGCTTGGTTTTATTTGCACGCGCCCCAAGGGACCATTGTGCTCTTGTATATATGTCTTTTTTTCCCCCTTCTTCCTCGATTCGTCGCGTAGAGAAAGAAAGTGGGAGGATGGCAATTGTGTTTGCTACTGGCCCTTTTCTTTTGATGATTATGAAAGAATTGATAGTCGTTGGTTATTTCTGTTTTAGACTTCCTAGTTGCTTTTCAAATCGACATGCCGCTTCTGAACGACTGCAGGCGTATCTGTCCAAAGTAGGGTGAACAGCACGCGGAAGGCTATTTATATCCTCTGGCAGTTGCATCTGTAGTCGGATCGGTGGAAGGCGGCATCCCATGCCTCCCTCTCTACGATTCCGTATTCCTTAGCGCATAATCACACTAGGACTTGTCGACTTATCTATGGACGTGATCTTGGTCAGATGCATCCGCGTTGGCCATAAAGCAGGTCGGATGCGCTTAGGATATATTATAGAGCCTAGTGTGAGTCCGGACTTATTGTGGCAGCAAATGGTATTCTTGTCGACTTATCTATGGACGTGATCTTGGTCAGATGCATCCGCGCTCGGCCATAAAGCAGGTCGGATGCGCTTAGGATATATTATAGAGCCTAGTGTGAGTCCGGACTTATTGTGGCAGCAAATGGTATTGCAGTTGTGTCAGCTTGCTGCAAGCACAACATTGCAAAGCAGCTGGGTGATGTTGCCTACTGGGGTTTGGTATAGTCATGGTTTGAGCACTTGTTGGTAAAAGGGGTGCAGTTCTATAACGAGGGGATGATATGTCAGCAGGGTGACCAATTCCGGACAGAGGGACAGAGCCGGGGCGGGAGCTTATCTCTTGTGATGGGTGCACAGGCAGGACCCCACCGCTACAGTTAGACCACCAGTTTCCTTTGCCCGCTATCTTGTTGCGATGCGGTCTTGAACCCGCCGCGTTGACAGGGTCTCTCAGCCTATCGGACAAAAATGGCTGGCGGCACCAGCCGAATAGTATGTAGTAATATACTTTCTGCATGTTTCAGTTTGTCTATTTTTGGCGCGTAGCGGAAATCCGGGATGGAAACAGGGGCTGGGTGGAAGTGGTGGGTTGCAGTAGTATTTGGGTACATGGCAGGCTTTGCAATATCCTTTTTCTGTGACGGTTGAGGGTCAGTTCGTCTATTTTGTGGGCATGCACCACAAGTCTGGGTCAGGAGGAGGGGCTCTGATGAACTGGCGTTTTAAGTGTGTGTGCATGGGAGGCCTTCCGATATCCATTCCGATATCCATTTGCTGTGACCGATGAGGTCGTGTTGTGCACGGTCTGTGAACTGCGAGAAGACCATGATGCCTTGTAGTGCTGGATAGAAATTGAGTCAGGTAGTAGCAAGATGGATGGGGAGGAGGAGTGCGAGATGGGAGGGGCAACTTTTTGAGCATTCCCTTTTGGGTGAATGAACTGCGCATTGCTCTCTTCCTGGTTCTGAACGTGCGTCCAATTCGATTCCAAGTCCAGGAAGGCGTCCTTGCTGCGTCGTACGCGCTTGCTGTGGGCGAGGAGGAGAGTGGCGTTGCAAATTTGGAATCTGTGATGGATGTAAGTTCTGGATGTTATTGCATAGTTATTACGGATCTCGGCGGTTTTATTAGTGGGGACCACTTGAATCTGCTTCCAGTCGGATACCACGAGTTTGCTCACCCTCCGCGCCGCGCCTTTTCCACCACGTGGGTGATAGGATCAACAAGATGCTGCTGGCTGTCTAAATGGATGATGTGGACCCTCGGCACCTCTGCTTGGAAATTTGCTCATTCTGGCAGCTTTGTCGTCTCTTAGGACTGGTGGTCCTCAGTTAGAGCTACAGGAAGATGAGGTGTGTTTGTCGTTTTGTGTCCTTGAAACCTCGAAAAGAGTACTTTGGATGTGATGGTGCTTAGGGAGGACGCCACTTGCTAGCTGCGTAAAAAAACGACCTTTGTCGGCGAGAATAGGCGGTGCTCTGTCAGTGTTGCTGGAAGACGAGGTGTGTTTGTTTGTCGTTTTGCGTCCTCAACGCCTTGAAAAGAGGCGGGGCACTCCTTAGGGGACGAGGTGACGGGGCTGCGGAGCAAACGACCTTTATCGGCCAGAGTAGGTGGTGCTCTGTCAGTGCTGCAGGAAGACAAGGTATGTTTGTCGTTTTTTGCGTCCTCGTCACCTTGGGGTGTGATGGTGCTATAGGACGGGCTTCGACGCCTTGCAAAGAGGAACCCCTTGGGATGTGATGGTGCGTAAGGAGGAGGTAATGTGCCTGGTGTGAAGAGAAGAGCGATGTGGGCTTATTAGCTCAACTGCACGCATGGGAGTCGTAGATGGGGAAGTGGCAAATGGAATCGCGCGGCGCCGAGCGTTTGAGGGGGGACTAGGGTAGGCAACGAGTGTAATGAATGAACACACCTTTCATTCTCAAATGTCGAGGAGGATTTCCAGCTCCAGCCTTGGCGCCATGATCTTCCCGGCCGGGAGATTTTTTCGTGTATTTGTTTTCCAGTGTTAGGAAATAGCTATGTACAAACAGGGGCCTGTCGAAGCGCTTTTCAAAGAGACTCTTGTGGTGATGTGGCAATGAAGGTTGTCTGTCTGTCATATTGTACATGCGCTTTTTTCTCTACTCCCCCCTCCCCTCTCCCCCTCCCCCTTTCTGCTGTCAAGAAGGGACTCTCTGTATGTGCTTTGACCAAGTGTTGTATATCACGTTTCAAGATCTCGGCTGGCATGCGTCAATTTCCGTTAGCGAAGGGACTCTCTGTGTGTGCAGTTGGAGATTTGTTAGATAATCCGTTTGCGACCTCATATTGTGACACTAGGGGGGTTTGTAATCACCACCATTGGAGAGTTCTCTGCTCTTGCTCAGAGATGCTGAAGAGCACGAGACTCTTCTCCTCCTCCTCCTCCTCCTCCTCCTCGGTTGGTCTGTTAGAGAGGATTACCTGATGGAGAGACGGTTATCGGATGAATGATCGTTTGTTTGTTTGTTTGGTTTTTTTTTTTTTTTTTTTTTTTTTTGTTACAGGTTCTTATGGAGAGAGGATTATCTTTTTTGAGTGCACAACAATTTTAGAAAGTCCATCTGGGAGATCAAATTCCGAGAGGGGAAGGTTTGAGCGTGACCACATTTGCCGCTAAGATGCTGAAGATCGAGAGGGCGATCGCCCCCTGCTCGGTGTTTAGGGGGAGTGCTTGTTCGTGTTGACTTCCTTCTGCGGAGTCGGTGTTTTTAAAATTTTATGTTGTTGTTGTTGTTGTTGTTTTTTGCCAAATTTTTGGTGGTTTGTGGGTTGTTTTTCTTTCGAAGGTGGTGGTGAAATAGACCTTGGTTTTCAGATAGAGAATCAGTGAAGTGGTGAGTTTTCAGTGCGGGGTTCTCTGTTGATCTGGTCAATGCAGTGCAGCTGGCTGAATTGTTTGGAGCGAAATATTCGTACGAAAGTTCTGGAGAGCAAAGTAGTGTGTTATTTTCTGTTGTGTTGTTGAAGTGAGTGTGGAAACAGTCGATACCTATCTTCAGCCCTTTGTCAGTATTTAGTCAATGATTTGAGAATCAATTTCCCGGCGTCAGACCACTTGGCTTTGCACTTGATTGGGTCATTCAAGCCATCACTGGCCAGCAAAATGGTAGAGAGAGAGAGAGAGAGAGAGGAGAAGAGTGGTGGCGTGGGGAATGAAGGATCCAGGGTGCGAGGAAAGGCGTTTTCCTGACGTCAGCGTGATGGTGTGGGGGGGCCCTGCGTCGGTTTGTTTTTTAACCAGAGGCAGCGTACGGAACCTGGCATGCGCTTGAGCGATGAAGTTTGAAATTCAGATGACGGCTTTGAAAATGTGACGATGATGATGATGAGGATGGCTCTGCCAGTTTCTCCTTCTCCTTCTTTTAACGATCGCGACGCTCCAGGGTGTTGGTTATCCGCCGTGGGTGTCCACTGTTCACTGTTCATTGTCTTCTTCAAAATAAGAAGCGCCTTTTGGTTAGGCGGTCTTAGGTCTAAACAGCAGCGTGTGAGTGATGTGAAGAAATAATTGTATTCAATTGTTGTGAGATTTAGTTGTGTTGTTTTATTTTACAAAGTTTCTAAACTGGTTTCACTGGAAAAAGTTCTTCGACTCCTTTCCTTTCCTTTCCTTGCTTTTCTCCTTGATTTTTTGTCCCCCTCTCTCTTTTCTTGTCCCTTTTTTTTTTTTTTTTGGGTGGGGGGGGGGGGGGGGGGGAGGGTGCACGGACGTGTCGGGAAAACAGATTGATTTATACGTCCTAGACAGAGATAGATTTATATGAGAGAGGAGGAGATGCTGGAACACGTTGTTCTGCACCCCCCTCAAGTCTCATTTCATAGAGTAGAACTAGAGGCAAGCTCAACAGGGTCTTCGTGCCCGGTCGAGTCTTTGAAGAATGGTGGACCCCCCCCCCCCCCCCCCCCCCCCAAGGGCGACAACCTTGAGATATCATGGTGAAACTGACCGACCCGATTCAGGAATTTCGTTCATCTGGTTCCATCTGGATTCAAACTCACGTTTGCGTTTCTCAACAGTTTATGGGTGTACCAACTGAGCTAAGCCCGTTGGTACACGCCTCTTTTGGGAAGCTGCTTGTATGTCCAAGCAGTAGTTGTGCAAGGTTTGTTTGGACTGTGGCTGTGGGGGAAACACGTTTTTTTTGTGTGTTTCATTTATGTATGGGTGTCCTAGTAAACAAGTTGGAGAGTGCAGAGAGTAATGTACTCGGGATATCTTCCTTTCTTTCTTTCTTTCGTTTTTTTCTTTTTCTTTTTTTCTTCCACAGTGTATCTCAGTTTCTTTCTTTCGTTTTTTTCTTTTTCACTGCCTCACAAGGTGATTCTCGAAATTCTCGAGGAAGAAATTGCTTGTAGAAAATTTCTGAGCGTAGTCTGCTGGATATTTGCATGAAAGAGGATGCGATTGCGATTGCGATGGAAAGCAGAACTCCAAAACTGCCGTGGTACGGATCGTGCATGCCGCTTGGCTCTTCACCCTGACAGAGTTTGGATTTCCCGGTCAGGTTGACGACAATCTTGTCGTTTTCTGCCCTTTGTTTTTGCTGTGTATGGCGTATTATTGTGGGGATCTTTGTCCTTAGTCTTACAGCGCCTGAAGTACTCCTTTTTGTTTCAATATTACCTTGGCGGAGGGGTGGAGACGGGCCTTGACCCACACAGTCCTACCTCAATAGTACCTTGACGGAGGGGTCGAGACGGGCCTTGACCCACACAGTCCCACCTCAACATTACCTTGGTGGAGGGGTCGAGAGGGGCCTTGACCCACACAATCCCACCTGAATCGGTACAGACATATGGAACGGGTACATACCTGTGCAGCTGGTACATACCTGTGGAATTTATGTCATTTTACTGGGGCTATCGCCCTTTGAATTGCAGGAATATATAGCCCATTTAGAAGTGCGAGGACAACTTGTTCGAGTACAGCTAGGTGTCTGCACATCTAGGTGCAGATCGTGTACCTGCCTGGCCATCATGCACATCCAGGTGCATTTTGGTGTGCTAATTTGGACACTCCTGAACCCTATGTTGTTCACTTTTCCATAAGGAGAGCAGGAATGCAAGCCAGCTCCGCTAGATGTAAGCGACATGAATGAAGTGAGGAGTGAGGAGAGTATAGGGTGGTTCGCGCAAACTGCAGAGTTGAGTAACATGTGGCCGGAAAATGTCAGCATTGGTGCTGTTGTGTTTGTGTGGTGCCTGTTCTCTTTCTCTCTTTCTTTTGTTTTTTTTGCCTGTTTAGTAAGTAGGGCGACTGCCCTGAGATATGCGCATTGAATTGACTGGCCCGACTCCGCCCGAGGTAATTTATAATAACTTTGTTCTGTTGGATTCCAACTTGGGTCTGCATTTCAGCAGTTCTTGAGTGTACCAACTGAAGCTGGGTCCGTTAGTAATACCCTCCCTCCTGTTCTCTCTTTCTCTCTTTGCTGGGAACTGTGTCCAGAAAATGGTGATGGTTGATGAAACGGGCACTCTTAAAAAAAAAACGAACGAAACGGGCACTCTATGACTGGTGGGGAAAGGGCAGCATTTGTGTTTGGGTGTAGGGGAGGGGACTGTAAAGGGAGCGTCGTTTGCTGGTTGCAATGATGATAAAAAGTTTTATGTCAGTTCATGTTGACATCAACACACTGACACAAGCTTGCCGCTGTGTGTCAGGGCCCCGCAGCACCGATGGTGCTCTGTTTGTGCTTAGAAGGCACGAACCTGGTCGGCATAACGGCCGGGTTCGTGCTTGCACAGCATAACCTTGTCTCCGAGGCGGATGGGCTGGCTCCCGTCCGCACTCAAGGGCTAGGCTCTGCTGGACCTGTATGTATTTGCTGTGCAAGCTGGCATGAAATCTCTTCGTTTTTAAAATTTTGAGTCTTTATAAGACGGTTGGGAGCAAGGCTGCCAGATCTTGCTAGCGCAGCGAATCTGTAATCGAGTAGGGCCCTGGCTGTAAGATTTGAGCTCAGCCGAAAGGGACTCAGTTGCACTTGATTGCAGCGCAGACACTTTGGAAGGTTGCAGGTAGTGGCAGTTACCTTCTTCCCCCGAATACAATCTACGGGCATTATAGCTGTATTTAGACTGAAAGATACCCCAAATACAGCTTCAATGGCCGTACGTTGTATTCAGGGGAAGGAAGGAGGTAGTGCACAGACAACACAGATTCATGAACACCTTTATGACAGAAGGTGATGAGAAGGGCCCAGTTGTGGCAACAAATTTGCTCCTGACACATTCTTACGGCGGCATACCATATTAAAAAAAAAAAAAAAAAAAAAGGATGGCATCATTGGCATGCCCTATACCTTTCTCGGTCTCTTGTGATCAGCTCTTAAAAAAAAAAAAAATCTGTTGTGATCA